TAAAAAACTGCAACAATTTAAAGAAAAGCTATAACCACAGCTGAATCACATAAATACAAAGTACAAATGTGTGCAAAAATTGTACATACCCCACAAAAACCAACCAAATTTATTGAAAGACACGCAAAAGAGCAATATCAACAACAGACAACACAATAGTGAAAAAATACATCCAAAACTCACAAGCCAAACTTAAAAAAATAAAACGACCCATGCTAAACAACCAATACATGCTCCTAATAAAACACCAATCACCTGATTCAATAACACACCTGATATAGCCCTGTGTGCCAACTAAAATATTACAAGTATGAGGGCCTCAATTGGATTGCTAACTATATATCATAACGACCAAGAGGTCATGAAGCTTGGATACCCGAACAACCCTGAGTCTTAGACGACCTGAGGACCTTTGGACAACTTGGAATGTCCCAGACGACCTAAGCAACCAAAAAGCTTAAGATAGCTCGACCTCGATGGTTGAGCTATGGTTCAAACGACCTAAAGAATTGTCATGATCTAACAAGCATTACTAACGAAGTCATTGGGGATAAGAAGGAACCTATTAAGAATAAGAAGAAACATAATGGTGATTGTGACATGATTAAGATAAGGATAAGCATTAAACATATAAGATTAAACCCGAGAAGTCAGGTGGACTAACCGCAGGCAGTCGGGCAAGTACATCCCTATAAATGGACTGAGGTATACCCAAACCTATTTCTACAATATACATACATTACATAAAACTCTTGTTTAAAGAGAACCCATCATTTTATTCCCCTGTACTAACTTGGGCATCTGAGTACTAACGCCAGGAGTCCCCCCCGGCTGTTTTGTTCTTTGAGTCTCACTTTGTTCTCCTTGTTTGGTGGTTCAAGGTTGTCCGTGCCCCGGAAGAGGAAAAGGTCACCATCACCAGCAAAAGACTTTCTGGCAGATCGGAGTTTAGATTCACCTGGTTAAATTTTAACTCAGAATTCTAGCACATCAATTGGCACCGTTTGTGAAGAGCTTTTGAACAAACTAAGAGCACTCTACCCAGTTTACGATCACATGACATGGCTAGAAGAGAAGGGATACAAAGGAAATTAAATTGGACTAAAATCATGATTCCAACTCTTTAAATTTCGTTAAATTGACTTGAGGCTTAGGTTAAAATTTGGTGAATTTTGGAGATCGTTTGCTATGTGAACCGATTTTAAGGATTCAGATCTACAATGCCCATTTTATTTGATTAAGATAGAGAATTTATTTAGCTGCGATCTTTTTACCAAAAAATATATATACGTTGAAGTTTTTGTGGTTAAAATTTCGTGATTTGTGGAGATCTTTTGATATGGTCTAAAATTCGGGACTTTATCCATGTTTTGCGGTATTTTTAGAAATTCTTCCGGTTGTGTTTTAGCTCAGTTGTTAGATGTAAAATTCTTATAAATCATGTTGAACTTAGGGATAAAGTTTCGGCTTAAAATGTGTAGGTTTTGCTGGTCGATTAGTGAACCCTAGTTTGTCCTTTTCGAGCACCGGATAAATTTTTAGATCCGAGTAAACTTTAGCTGAGTGATCGGTCTGTTTCGATTGAGACGCCGGTCCATTTCTAGCAGTCCGGACGGTTCGTGAAATTTCCAGTTCAACAGAGTAAGTTGGGGCAGTCCGGATGATTCTGGAGTTTCAGTTCGGAACATCGGTTTGAGCGTGAACCGAAATTTCAGTATTTTTCAAACCAAGTCAGATTCAATTTAAAACAGACAGATTAGCTCCGGACTTAGTATTTTTTCGAGTGTAGCCAGTTCAGATAAAGTCAGATAAAGTTTCAGTCAGAATATAGTTCCAGACTTAGAAATATTTCAGAGAACTCTAGAACGCTTCAAGACAAAAAATTATCAAACTAGCTCGTAAATATTCTAAGATGAGATTTAAATGATTTTAAAAAAATCCAGCAAGTTAACCTAGTAAATATCAAATATATTTTAAGTTTTTCAAATTGAGCTTAGTACTTAGAATATTTTGCTCAAATATTGTGTGTTTAAGGAGAGTCAAGCCTCTGACAGCTACCCTTCATCCAGCACTTGCCTAACAAATTTATCAGTTTGGGGTCACTTATTGGGTACCACATCGTCTTTAATTACTTTATCCTGTCCGATGGTATGTACGAGTAAGTTATATCAAACAAAGTGGAGGCACACCCAGCCTTAATGCCATTCTAGGTTCAAGTCATATCAACCAAAGTGGAGGTATAGCTAGCCTTAATGATCCATTCTAGGTTCAAGTTATATCGCCCAGGGTAGAGGCACAACCAGCCTTAATGTTCCCATTAGGTGGAGGCACAACCAACCTTAATGTTCCATCAGAGTGTGCACATGATTTACGCCTAGGGTGGAGGCACTACGGCCCTTAATGAACCATCCTAGGTTCTAGTGGAGGCACTAGCGAGCCTTTTGTTCCATCAGATTGTGCACATGATTTACCGACACAGCCTCCAGGAGTTAGTAAAATAGTTCAGTTCAGTTTAATTCAGTTCAGCTCAGTTCAGATCAGTTCAATTTCGTTACTTATATGCTTAAGTCATGATATTGTTATTATTGATGGTGATTACTCAGTGCCGGTTTCTTCGGAGCACAGTGGTTTTGTTCACGCCCCTACTACTTTTCTTTTTACGTGAAGGAGTCCAGCGTGGCGCGCAAGCACTCGTAGTGGTCATGGTCATGAGCTCAGCGGACATTTTGACACACATTTTATGTCATGTATTATGAACATGTAGTGTTAACTATGCGTGTCTATTATGCTTTAGCTTCCGCATTATCAGACCCAGTATGAGATTATGAGAACTTCAGACTTATGCATGCATAATTCCCTTATCTCCATTGTACCTTTATTAAGTGTATTGATTCGGTTGCATATATTATTATCATTTGTCTGATGAGATAAAGGATAAGAGTAGTAAGGTTTCAGTAGCATCCCGCAAGGCAATTATAGTATTTTCGAAAATAAAGAGCAAAAATTTAACTCTGATTTTTACAATTCTAGTTATAGAAGGCGGGGTGTTACAACCTACTTTAGGAAAGAGATCAAATATGGTTCGAATAATTTTGAAAAAGATAGTACAATTAGTTGTTAGTGGATATATTAAAATAACATTTAAGATAAAATAATTAAAGTTGATTTCATGTAAAAGTATGAGAGAGATGATTTAAAATGATGGTTAGTTAAAATCATATGCGTGGATGAATAGTGAATTAAGGTTGATGTGATGTATAAGAATGATTGGTTGATTTTATTTAAGTATATTAATAATATTAATGATAGTTGTGTTGAGTTAAAGTTGAGTTAAAAAAATTGGTTGAGTTAAAAATGTTTGTATTTTTTTGATAAGTTATCCAAACATCCTCTAAAGATCCTTAGGTGCCTAATTTAGAATCTGGTCTACCTGAGATGGGAGGTAACATTTTTTAGCATTCGAATTGGGTTTGGGAGTTAATGGAGCAGGGAGAAAGAATGTTGAATGCGGAGCTTATTGAAGTTATTTTTTATGAGATTGAAAGTGCAGCAATTTTTAAGATCAAAACACTAAACCCTGAGATGAAAGATAGGTGGATTTGGCAGTGAAACTTAAGAATAAATTCTCAGTGGCAACTGCTTATTCAATGTTTGTTTTTGGAAAATTTTTGCATTTGGATAAGGTAAAAGGCATTACTAAAGTTGAGAAGGACAAACAAGCAAGACGGAGATATTGGAAACTGGATGTCAAGGGAAAGTTGAAACACTTTGTGTAGAAAAGCTTATCAGGGTCATTGTCGGTCAACTTGTATTTGATGAATTTGTGTGGATGTGGATAGTGTTTGGAAGTGTTGTGTTGTTTCGAAGCTTTATCCTTAGACTAGGAGAACCTTCAACCGACTGCAAGTAGTTTTAGAGATTGGTGGTAGTGGATTTCATCTCTTGAACACTGAGACAATTCTTGAAGCACGCTTTCAACTCTCTACTTAAATATTACGGTGGATCTGGAAAGCAGGAAATCTGTGTATTGTTCAAAATGTTTGACAGTCATAATGACTTGTTGTGCAGTCAGCTTTACGAGATTGGATGGACTTTGCTAACCGAGGAAAGACTCCGAATTTCTGTCATTCAAGGTATTTTGTTGACTAAGTTTTTATGTTTAATGGTCGACTATCTTTCTTCCTTTGTTTTGTTGGCTCCTGGTTTGTTGTTGTACTCCCTTGTTAAGGCTCCAAATGTTTGTACTTGCTTTCGTGTATGTTTGTTATCTTGTTGTTTTTGTTTTTGGGTTTGAGGCCACCTTCGGTGTGGTTCTCCATTGTATTTTGTTTTATAAGGGTCAATTGATTCCTGGAGTTATACATTAAAAAAATAATAATAAAAAAAGTATCAAATCTTCTTTTTGGTTTTGTGACATTATTTTCTTTTATTTCATCCAGATTCTTTACATACACATAGTTTCATTTTCATTGTCGACATACACGCTGCCACAAATATTTTGTACACTAGTTTATTCGTTTTCACGAAGTATATTTCCAAACTGATCCCATAGGATACTTTCTTGTTTACCCTTCACGGATTCAAGAACTTCACTGCAGTTCACATAATCAAACAATTCAAACTTGAACAAGATCATTATACAAGGAGTTTTAGCAAATATCAAGTTAAATCAAAAAATAAAACCACCACCACCATCGAGATGGCCTAAATCGAAACAGGCCTCTTTAGCAAACCCATTTTGATGGTCAATAACCATCACATCCCACCATCTCTCCATTTCACCTTTTATAAAATCTTACTATAAAGATAGTTCTACAAATTTTTGCTCATAGATATGAGGTTAAATTAACACTAGCCACCGCAACAATGCTAAAAAGTTTTGGCAATTAATTCTCCTTTTTATGTCCAAATCATAATTTGATAATGCTCTTAAGAAGAAAATGTAACCAACCATGAGCAGAACATGGTGATTCAAGTCCAATTCAAAAGTATTAGAATACTTATGAAGTTTCCCTGGTTGAAGGCGTCTTCTTGGCATCCTCAGCAGCAGCTTTCTCAGCCTCTATCTCGGCAACAATGGCATCAATATCAGCTTCTTCAAGCTGCCGTAAACCGTGATCTTTAGTCATCACGGCAGCTTCAATGTTCTTTCCTCCGCTCTCCACAACCTTCAAAATCATCAAGGTCCCATTATTAATAATAACTCAAAAAAAAATGCTACCATCTTATATGGATGTGTCTTAATAATGGTTTGTTGTATTCTATCAGTAACGACTAAGTCCATGACCGAGCAATCAAGTGTTTCTCGCTTTAGTCAGTGCTTCAACACCACACAATCATAATACACATTTTCAAATTTCTCGATGAAACTTGAGTACAAGTGTTGTTATTAATTTACTATTATTTATCTGGTATCTAGGGTTTTGGTATCTAGGGTTTGAGCTGTAAAAAATAAAAGATTCATAGTCAAAGTACTTCACAACGTGATGCATCGATTGTTACAGCAAATATTGGGCTGTCCTGTTGCATGGTGTTTTGGACCAGGAGCTTCTGTATAGCTTGGCCATGACTGATGCAAAATAAAAAGAGAGTTCTGTATAGCACGGTATTATCAAGAATTTAGTTTTGAAAAAGCTGGACATTAATCTAGAAGAAACATCAAGTACTTACCAATATGTTTGAGCTCAAATAAGATGAAGTTACTTTAAATAAAATATTCAAACTCAACTAGCAGCATAATTACAAGACACAAGGAACGCACTAAAGAAAATATCCTACTCTATATGCCATTAATCAATATTTCCATCGATCTGTATTACTTCAATGAAACCTAATGGATATCTACGTTTATGCACAGTGGTCATGGCTGAGGAATATAACCATGCGTGGGTCTACTTCGATTTGATGTCAACATTACTACAAGAAGTTAAACTAATAATTGATTTTACTATCAACTCTCACGAATTCCTATAAAACTCTCGAGTAAGAAACTCCTCACGACCAGCAAAGACAGAGTGCAAAAGGATAAAAAAATTCAGACATAAATACACATGAAAAGAATCACATCCCAATATTTTTTTTTTTTTTGGAAAAAAAAAAGAAGAAACCCAAGAAAAGCAAGTTGACAAAAGCACGTAAGGTTATTAATGTTCACCTCCAGCAAAGCACGGATTGCCAACTTGATGGTTTCTTGTCCAGATGTCTCCTTGTAATTCTTCTCCAGAAACTCTCTAATAGAGTTAGAATTTCTGCCAGTAGCATTGGCTTTCCACGCAGAGAATGTGCCGGATGGGTCTGTCTGGTAAAGTGATGGAATGCCTGTGTGTGGGTCAAACCCAATGATCAAGGTCGAGAGTCCAAAAGGTCTCACACCACCACTCTGTGTATATTTCTGCTGAAGACCGGCAATGTAACGGGTTATGTATTCAACGGTAACAGGGTCCTCGATCGTAAGCTTGTGGCTCTGGCATTCAATACGTGCCCTGTTGATCAAAACACGTGCATCGGCCTTCAGGCCAGCACAGGCCAAGGCTATGTGATCATCTAAATTGACAATCTTCCTCACTGATCTGAAAGGCAACAAAGCAGAATAGGTATTAACTGCAACTTGCTTAAACCACAAGAAAACTGGAAGTGATGTAAAAGGATACTTACATAAACAATCTAACAACTTTTAAACAATGATAAAATTTGTAAATTTATCTTAAATGGAAAAGCCGAGCATCAGCTAGAAAAGGTGATCTTATTCTCAGAAAAAATATTAACAAACGAGCCATTTTTAGAGAATTTTAGACGCATTTACTTTTCACATGTACAAAGAGCTATAATCTTTTGTATTGTCACATAAGACTTGTCTAAGCCTCTGAAATTCCAAGAAACCCACATGGATTCTGATTCTTTAAAATCCTACTTGTATTAAGAGTTATCGACAAAAGTGGACCACAGAGAAACATCTCCAAATTTCATTCTGAAGGTAACGGTGAAGCATGTCGCTCAAAATTTACATATTGTCCTTGAAAATCAAATGGCAAAAGTATAGTTTCAGGATAATTTTTGGATCTCACAAAAACCCTAAAGTCCTGCAATCGCACACATCCCCGCCATATTACAATTTAACCACAAATATATGCTATAAACCATTTCCCTGTTAGGGATGTAAAAGTAACCTTACATTCTTCAATAACATTGAAATATCTGCAGAAATAGAGACAAATAGTTTCAGATAACAAAAACCAGCAATCAAAAATTAAGCTTCAGCACTACAATTAATTGAATACAACCCTGCAGAAAACATAGTTACATCTCAACAAAACATCCCTTAAACCCTAATTAAATTCAAAAATTCCTTCAATCCACAAAAAAAAATCTCCAGAAATGGAAATTTTGTTTCTCTTGATCTGCGAGTTTGTATGCGAGAGAGAGGGAGAGAGAGGGGCAAACCTGGAATCCTGAAGCTTAGGAGCGGACTTTTTCTCGACGGCAAGTACGATAGTATCGGTGCCCCGAACACCGACGGCGGCGTTACCCTTGCGTACGGCTTCGAGAGCGTACTCGACCTGGAAAAGGTGGCCATCCGGCGAGAAAACAGTGATTGCTCTGTCGTATCGGGCCATAGCTCACTCTACTCCGGATGATCTCTTTGAAAAGCTTCGATATGTACACGAGTTCCGATTTGATACTCGATCTTTCCGGGAACGAATGTACTTTTCTTTTAGTCTAAAATTAATCTTCCGGCGGCCAATGATGCTGAATCTGTGAATCACAATGCCTTATACAAAGTGTTGAGTCACATTTGTTTTTAACTTATGAATTTATCGTTATAATTAAATAATATTAATCTGTTATAATTAAATAATATCAATCAATTGCATTTTTCTACCTAATTTGGATTTGCTAAGACTTTTAATAGTTTTTGTTATAAATATATTAATATGGACATTACTAATAGATGATTGGGCCTGAAGTCCATTAGTCAGTAGGATTAGGTTGTAGGGCTTCCCTCTTGTAAACCCTATAAAAGGGTGATTATACCGATGAATAAGATACACACTTTTCTGCTTCTCTTTTCTCGTTCTTTCTTTTACTGCACATCTTTTATGGTTGGATTGATAGATGCTTGGTGAATATAGAAGAGTTCCAATTTACAACACGTTATCAGCACGCTCTAATTCATTGTTGGTGTTGCCCCAGGAAAAATCGTATTTTTCCTGCAAGGTACTTTTGAGATCCATTTATTTTTTTTTACTTGTCGATTTGTTCTGTCTGGCTTGAATGATCACGATTTTTTTTCCGATATATCTGAATTGGTTTTCCGATTCGCTCTAAGTTAAATAAATAAAAAAAATATGAATTGTTCTATCTGAATGAGTCCACGCAGACGGAACAAAATTAATTATTCAATAAATCCAGACGGATTGTTCTATCTGAGTTCAATAATTGTCAATCAGTATCAATTATTGTTCTATTGAATTTTGGGCTTATTGAACAATAAATATCTGAATTGTTCCGATTCGCTTTTCCATGTTCTGTCTGTTTTTGTTCTATCTGAATTGTTAAAAA